CTCCCCTGCAACAGCAGAGGGTCCTGCAGTTTTCCACAGCCGACTCGCCCGGGCTGTGTCCCAGGCACTGCTTCCCATGATAGTTCTGTGGGGTGTGTGCCTGCCTTACCTTGTGCATGCAATCACGTGTGTGTATCAGGATGTGCATGTGTGTACACATGCTAACATGAGTGTGTGTGCATACACACGTGTGTGTGCACGTGGCGGTTCACTATTCAGTCTAGTCGGTAAGTATGTGGGAGTCCACTGTGTTCTCTCAGCTTCTCTCTGCCTGGAGCGCCCTCGTAATAAAACACCACGAAGGCTCCCAGGGTATCCTGGGACATAGCCAGGGCCCAGAACCCCTAGGCTGGTCCCAGACCACGACACTTCCACTTCTGGTGAGCTGCTGTGTCCAGACTTTTAAGAGTGAGATGACATTAAAAAAATAGCAACTAGGGAAAGGCCAGGGACACCAATAAGTAATAGAGGCTGCCCCTTGTCTCAAGGTTCCAGCCACCCTTCTAAGAACTGACCTGTCCGTTCCTTCGGTCAGACGGTCCCTAAGGACCTGTGGGTCCTGCTCTCGTCCCCACTGTATAGATGCAGGTGGAGGCACAGAGGAGTCAGGTCACTTGTTAAAGGTCACAGAGCCAGGAGGGACAGAGCTGCGGCCTGACCCACAGGCCAAGCTCGAGGCCATGGCTCAGTCCCTGCCTGAGGCAGAGGACAGTGCACACTCGAGCACCAACCAAGTTCATCAGTTTCTTTCGAAGCCCACGGCCCCGCATCAGTGCTCAGAGCTGTCCCCTCTCCTCCGTGTCCCTGGTGACCCCTGAGGGCATGCCGAGGGCTCTTCAGCCCTAGTCCTGCTGCAGGGCTCCACGCTGGGCTGGCCAACTCCCGGCTTGCCGGTCCAATAGGCATCCCAGCCTTTGCAGGTCCAAGGCAGAAAACCTGTCCTCGTCAGCCATCGACACGCCTTCTCCCCTCCTCTGCCTCCACTCCACTGACCTCTGGTGCCCGCTGCCCTACCCCACAGAGTAGTGAATGACCGCTGTCCCCCGTCGCCAATGCCCTGGCAGGGTCCGTTACTCTCAGATTCTCGGCAGCCAGGCTGGCACCCTCCTTCCACCCTCCTAATTCACACTCCAGCAGCCAGAGCCACTCCCTGACCCCCAAGCCAGGTTGCCTGGGAATGGAAAGCCGTGTCCCGAGACCCCCGAGACCCCTCTGCACCTGGTCTCTTTCTGCCTCTCCGTCTTCCCGCAACCCCGCCACCCTCAAGCTTCCACCAGCCGATCCCACTTGTTGCTTGAATGAAGTTCTCAGGGTTCAGTCCAACCCCCCTGCTTTAGGGCCCTAAGTGGCAGGTACCCCAGATTCTCCCTGGTGGCCTTCCCAGTGGGACATTCCCTCACCACCTGAGTACTCTGAGACCCACCTGTGCCACCTTTACGCGGAGGGCTTCTGCGGCCATCTTGCTCCGTCTCGAGCTGCCCTCTGCACCCACACTGCGAGCACCGCTGCAGGGCCTCGCCTCCTCGCCTCCTCCACACCCATCCTTCACCTCCTGCTGCCGGCATCACCCATTCACACACTCCAACCGCGTTCTGCAGGCACGTGCCCAGCCCCCTGAGCACCGCGCGGCCTACGCCGAGGGGCTGGCTGAGAGGCAGAGGTGAGAGCCAGGTCCCAAGGGCCTGTTGAACCACTTCCGGCCTCAGCGGGAGAGACCAGTTCAGACGGTGGGACAGGCCTGGTGGTCTGCGTCTCTGACCACTCCCCGGGTGCTGCTGGCAGTGTGGCCGGAGCCTGTCGGAACTGGCGAGGCTGCAGGAGGTGAGCACTCACTTGCTCATTGCTGTCATCTGAAAGGAGATATTTCACTCAGAACCAAGCTCATTCTGTTTTTTTTTTTTTTAATTTTAATTTTTTTATTTAAGTCTTTGTCATAGGGCACGTGTGCTCGCTGGACCGAGAGAGAACGTGAGAAAGCATTTCCTGGGGCAATGGCCACACCACAACCCCCTCTTCCATTCTCAGGATATTGGGCATGCACGCACACACGCCCAGCGTGATTTTCAAGCTGCCAAGTCCTGGGCTCAAACCATGGTCGGCCACGTGGGAGTCTGGCACAACCGTCACGCTGCCTGCTGATCCCTAGAACTCATCATTGCACAGTATGCAATTCAGGGTTTTATGGTATATTGCATGTCGGATTCACTACCTAATTCTTTCTGGGGTGATAAAGAGATCGCCCCAAGAAGTCCTGTACCCACTAGCCCCCCCTCGTTCTCTGCCCTAGGCCCAGGCCCCAGCAACCGCTGATCTGGCTGTCTCCACAGACGGCCTTTCCTGAACCTTCACGTGCCTAGAATCAGTGGGCTTGTGTGTCTGGCTCTCCCACTCAGTGTTTCCGGTCCCTCCATTCTGGAGCATGCCTTCAATCGCCCTCCCTTCGATGGCTCACAATATCCCATCGTGTGGCCACACGGCACCTTACTCATCCACTCACCAGTCTGCGCATCTGGGTGGTTTCCACGTTCTGGCCGTTATGAATCAGGCTGTTGAGGTTTTTTGTGTGTGAACATGTTTTCCATTCTCTCGGGGATGTGGCTACGGGTGGAATCGGTAGATCACAGGGTAACTTTCTAAAGACATGCCCAACTATTTTCCACTAACTGCATCGTTTTGCATCCCCCCCGCTTACAGCATTCCAATCCCTCCCTATCCTCAAATGGCATTTACTATTATGGCCATCCCGGGGCGGGGAGGGGTCACCTGGTGTCTCCTTGAGGCTTTACTATGTGCTTTCCTGATGACTGGCTGTCAGCATCTTTTCACGCACTTACTGACCACGCGTGTGTCTTCTCTCGAGAAACTGCTCTGGATTGGGGCCTATTTTTTAAGCAGGTTATTTGCCTTTTTATTGCTAAGTCTAAGGATTTTTCATAGATGCTGGATAGCAAGACCCTCGTCAGATAGGACCTGCCAATGTCTTCTCATCCTGCGACCTGCCTTTTCACTCTTGGTTCTATCTGTTCAGTCCATTTAGTGCTGCTATGACAGAGTACCACAAATGGCGATGTGCAAAGAGCAGATGATCTGAGTCAGAGTTCTGAAGGCTGGGAGTCCAGCACCAAGGGCCAGGATCTGGTGAGGTTCTTGGTGCACCTTACCATGGCAGAAGACATCACACGGTGGAAAAGCAGAAGGGCAGAGAGAGAGCAGGGAGGCGAGCTGGGCTGGCCCATGGCTTAGTAGACAAAGGAGCCGCCACGGAAGCTCCAAAAACATACCAGGCATGTGCACGTGCATGCCAAAACTCCCAACAGGATGGGGACATGAAGAAGGGGGGCAGGGTGACCACGCCCCACCGGCAGTGCTTTCTTCCCCCTCTCTCTGTCTCTCTTTGGTGAGTGCATGTACCCTCTGATAAACTGAAAATAAAAAAAAAAGAGGTGAACACATACCTGTGGTAATAAACCCGCTCCTGTGGTAATAGCAATAATCCACTCCTGAGGGCTTTTCTTTCATGACCTAAACACCTCTTCAAGGTCATGCCTCTTGAGGCAAGCATGTGGAATGGTGGTTAAGGTGGGCAGCTCCCACATGGCTGACTCTTTGGTTCAAGTCCCAGACCCAGTGGCTCGAAAATCACACCAAGTGCACGTGTGTGCGTGCATGCACGCCCAAAATCTCAAGAGGAGACTGAAAAAAAAAGGAAATCATCCCTAGGGGATGATTTCTCACTTTCCCTCTCTGTTTCTCTACAGGCACCCTAGGGCAAAAATTTTAAAAAGTTCTACCTCTAACTACTGTTACAATAGCAATTAAATTTCAACATGAGTTTTAGTGGGACAAACATTCAAACCATTGCGTTCTACCCCTGGCTCCCTCACCAAATTCATATCCTTCTCACATACAAAATACCTTAATTCCATCCCAATAGCTCCCAAAATCTTAACTTATTCCAGGACCAACTAAAAGTCCTAAGTTTCATCTAGTTCAGATATGGGTGAGACTTACGCATGATTCATCCCAAGACAAATTCCCCTCCAGCTGTGAGCCTGAGTAATTATCTAAGTTGCAAGTTTCCAAAATACAGTGGTGGGGACAATGGATGTTCCCATTCCAAAAGGGAAAATAAAAAAACGGAGAGGGAGTAGGGGAGACTGATCCCCAGTCCAAAACAACATTAAATCAAGACTCTAAAATAACATCTGACTCCACCTGGCGCCTCCTGGACATGCTGGGGCAGGGTGGCCCAAGCACTGAGGCAGACCCCCATCCATGTGTCTCCCAGGCTCGGCCCAAACAGTTCTCCTGGGCCGGCGTCTCACCCCTGCCACTCTCCCAGGCCTGGGCTACACACTGGTGGCTTGTTCTTTCTAGGGTCTCGGGTGAGGACCATTTCTACGGCTCTGCTGGACACCGGCTGCCCTAGTAGGGACTCTGTAGAGGCTCCACCTGTGGCAATTCTCAGCCTTGTCCCGAGGCTGTCTGAGACACCCTCTGAAATCGGGAGGCGCTGCCTTGGCCCCGCAGCTCATGCACTGCACGTCTGCAGAGCAGTACCATACAGATGCTGTCAGCTGGATGGCCGTGCCCCCTGAGCAGGTGCCTGAGCCAGAGATGGGGCAGCCAGGAGCACTGCGCTCAAGGGCAGGGGGCAGAGGCCCACGGCAGCCTGGGCACCAAGCACCGTGCAGCAGATCTGGGAACAGAAAAGAAGCTAAAACGCATCACACAGACCGAGGCACGTCCTGATTTAAAGCTGGGTGTTCTGCATCTGTTTCTTAAGTTATCGATCTTTTCGTGCTATGATCTCCGTAACACAAGATAAAAGCCTACTGCCGCTTCCACTTTCAATTACCACAGACCCTCAAACTGGGGTGAGTCGTAACAGGTTACTGCGGCGACCGGTGCATGCTCCCGCACAGGCCCATCTGACGAGCACCCCCCCCGCCTGTTCCCTAAAGGCTCCCCCCGACATGACACACCAAGGACAGCAGAGGTGGTTTGGGCAGACTTGGAGTTTATTTGCTGCAGCTCCTTGGCGCTAGTTTACAAGGCAAAAACAAAGAAACAAAAACAACTGGAATAATAATTATAATTTTTTAAAAACCCTGTCAACAACTTTCAGTCATTTCTTTATATTTTTGTATTTTGACAAACTTTTTTTTAAAACAAATACAAAATAATCTAAGAGAAAAACTATACATGGATTATTTACACTTCTGATAAATAGACTCACACTGACCAGGCGCCTCGTCCGAGGCATCGCTGACAACCGGCGCAGAGCCTGGGCTGGTGGCGGGGCTCCAGCACCGCCCGAAACCACCCAGGCTTCGGGGAGCACCGCCTGGTTCTCCCGCCGGAAAGCCCGGCTTCCAGCCTGTGCCCTCTCCTGCCACCTTCACAAGCTCTGGCATAAACGCTCTGAAGCCTCTCCAGGCAAGATCTACAGAAAGGGGCGCCAGGGTGTCCCTCCACACTCCTCCCACTTCTTTCACAAAAGCTATTTCCAGAGATGCTAACCTAAGGTACTGGAGGAGCCGAGGCCCCGTGACCCCGTGGAGACCCACGGCTCCGCCGCCGCCGCCTGGAGGCAGTGCTCTGCACCACCCGGGCCCTGGGCCACGTGGCGGGGCGTGTCTGCCCAGGCTGGCGTGCTGGCCCTGGCCGAGTGGCAGGAGCTGCCCTTGAGAGTCCCTGAGAGAACGGCAGAACACCGCGTTTCACGGCTCCCCTCATGCCACACTGGGAGGGCAGGGCTGGCTCATACACGGCCTGAAGGGGGGCGGCGAGACCCGCGAGGCCGAATCCTCGCCCTCTCTGCATGCACCCTGCTGTGTAGATGCAGCCGCTCCCTCCGGCGGGGCCAAGGACACGTCCAGGGTAGCCCAGGCCGGGTTTGAGGCAGAAAAGGCTGAAGCCCTGAAGGGTAAGGTGAGGCCTACTCCTTCCTCTAAAACGAGGACTGAGTTTTGGGGAAAGAGGGAGAAGAACCAAACATGAAACGGGTCACCCCGGTGTCTCCCCAGGGTGCCCTTCCTCACAGTTTTGGTTATTAGGTATTTCGCTCAAGGAAAATGCTGACTTTCTATTCCGAGCCCGACGAGGACCTGGATGCTGAAGGAGGATGACAACGTAAGTGTCCAGGCTCTGTCCTCGCCTCGGTGCTCCGCAGGCACCTGGGATGGAAAAGTGCCACCAGGGCCGCCTGCCGCAGGCCGCAGCCCAGGCGGCCGGCCACGGCAGCCCTCCACCCCCGACGGAGCCCTCTCGCGCCCAGACACGTGTGGGAGAGCAAGCTCCCACCTGCTCCCAGCGTGCAGGAGAGGCTGCCAGCCTCGCCGCGAGCCCAGGCTGATGGCTCTGAGCAGCAGCCCAGGGGGCCGGCCCCTCTCCAGGGAGGAGCTCCCCAACCAGACAGGGCAAAATACACCCAAACAGCGCCATGTTCTGTTTTCTTAAAAAACAAAAACAAAAAAATAGATCTGTATGGTACGTGGCTTCTCGTCCTTTCCCCCTCTGCCTTAACAAATAACATACGAATGCGTGTGTTTACAGTGTAGGGGGTTGAGGCTTCCTCATGGGGACAACTGAGGGGGAACAGTCAGCCCGAGCTCGGCCATCAGACCGGCCGGCCGAGATGGCAGGAGGCTGTGCCGAGGCTGACAGGAGCCCTGCTCTTCTGAGAGGAAGCTCCTGGACCCACGTCTGGTGGGAGCCAGGTCCCCTCTCTCAGCGGCAACTGCTCACCCTTCTCCCACGTAAAAAAAAAATAGCAAAAGCTGAAGCTGGTCTCTAGGAACTGAGGGCCGGCCTGGCAGAGAGGACGCTCCGCTCGGTGGTGCCCCATGGGGGACACGGGGAGCCAGAGCCCCGCAGGCTCGTGGCCCACGTCCGGGGCTGCGCTCAGTGTCTTTTCGTAGAGGAGACCTTCTTTTTCCGTGCTGCGAGCATCTCGTAGAAAGGGTCCCTGCTGATGGCCGCCCTGGAGCACAGGAGAGAGACAGAGGGTGAGGGACAGCACCAGCAGACACAGACCTGGCCAGGACTCCTGACCCACCCAGCTGTCACTGTAAAGGCCACTGCAGTGTCAACGCCGAGTCCACACAGTGGCTTAAGGTGACACACTTCAAAAGAGACACAGGGCGTGTGACGAGATCATCACGGCTTTTCTTTCTGCCCACTTACTCCTAACTACAGTTCACATCAGGGACAGAATCGGCAGTCGGCCCGACAGCTCTGCTCTGACTCAGCTCCACGGTGACGTCGGGCTCTCCAGTGAGCCATCCAGTCAGGTGCCCGCGGTGTGTCTGGGTGCTGTCACCGGCTGCAGCGTGGGCCTCGCGGGCTCTCGTGTGCACCAGCTCAAAGGCAGGAGCTCTGAAATCAGCAGCCAGTGCTGCCCAGCTGGCTGGGGCCGGCCCAGCCATCTCCAGCCCACAGCAGAGGAAGCTGGCCCTTGCCCCTGAGCAGCAGCGGTGATGGCTCAGGAAGTGGCAGTGTCGGCGCAGGGGCCCTGCCTGTACTGGCCATCCTCAACGTCCAGGCTAGCGATGGTCCCCAGGCCTTGAAGCGTAACCTGCCTTCCCAGAGAAAGCAGCATTCTGTGATGGTCAGTGTCCAGACCCTCACCTCCCCGACCACAGGCACTGCTCTGCACAGCCCCGAAGGGCGGAGCCTCTCCCTGGAGGGTTTCCACAGCTCCTCTGAGTGCTGGGAACCAGCCGCTACTAGGTGACACCCTGAGGGTCCTGCCGGAAATGAGTCCGACTGCTCCTGGCTTTCAGAGGGAATCCAGACCAAGTGTCTGCTTCCTTCTGAGGGTCCGGGGTAGGTCCACTTGGCTCCCTGGGGGCCAGGCCCGTTGGCAGAGTGTGTGCCCCTGCAGAGCTGCTAGGATGTCCTGGCGTGCTGGGACATGCGGGTGAGTGCTGGGCCTTTGCCACGTGGCACTGTCAACTGCCACTCCCTCACGTGGCAACTGGAGACACTGCCCACCCCCTGGGTTCTCAGGAGCTGAGAGGAGGGCAAGCACTCAGAGCACGTCTGATGCCTGGCAGACAGGGCCACTGTCGCTGTGGAGCCGCCATGCCATGTCATGCAGGGGACTGGCATCTGCTGACACTGAGGCTGTGTCAGCTTGTCCCAGCAGCACGAGGCACCTGGGCCGACATCTAGGGAGGCTGTTTCCTGAGAGGAAGTCCTGCCCTGTCTCGACTGTCCACAGAGCCCACCGGCAACGCTGGCCAAGGCGCTCCCACCTGGTCATGCTCCTCTTCAGGCCCTCGAACCTCCCCTGGAGAAGCAGCGGCAGCCCAGCGCTGGGCAGTGCTGTGAGTGCAGCTGCTAGCCGCATGGCTCAGGCCCTCAGGCCACACCCTTTCCATGGGGCCAACTTAACCTCGCAATGCCTGTTTCCCCCCTCCTCCCCCGGCTCCCGCTCATGGGTGGTGGGCATCGGAGGTCCGGCCTGCAGAGTGCGTAGAAGACCCCCTATGGCCAAGCCAGTGGGGACGGCGGGAGGGACAGAGAGGCCCGGCCAGGAGGGTTCGGTGTTCACTTAGACAAAGGGCTGAGAGACCCGAAATGCAACTAAAGACTGCTCAGTTTTTTCTGACCACAGAACTAAAAAGAATAGGATGGAGGAAATGTACAAAGCAGTGAGGACGTTTCTGAAAGAGGAAGAGGGGGTCTGGGTGTGACAGTCAGAACACGTCACCACGCCGCAGTCACTAGAGCACCTAGGGCCGCCCATCAACAGAAGCGAACGTCGTGTGTGTGGGCCCCAGCACAGGTGAGCAGGGGCTTCAGATCAGTGAGTGGTCCTGACAATCAGCTACTTGTGAGGGGACAGTCACAACCCTTACTTCAAACCGTATGCAAACAATACATTCAGGAAGGACTAAAGAGTTAAGTAGTTTTTAAAACATAGGTTAGAAAAGGTGACCTACACTCCTTGGCTATCAGGACCCCACGGCACCTCAATCCTCCACCCCAGACCACACTGCTGTGGGTGCTAGGCCTCGGCATGACCACGGCCCAGGCAGCGTACTGGTATGCCCACCCCTGCCCTTGCTTCGTGATGGAGATCACCCTGCGACTGAGGAGTCCACCCTACAGAGAGGTATGTCACCTGCCCTGCCAGGCAGCTCACCCAGGGACAGCCAGGGCTCGGCCCAGGGACTTGACTCCAGGCCAGCCTCTCCCCTCCGGCTCTGCCTCCTTCGCTGCACAGATTCCCAAAGGCCCCTTCTGGGGACAAACTGTCTCCTCCCCTCACATCACCTCCACTTTCCGTCATTTACTCAAAGTCCAACCTTAGCCAAAACACTATCTGGGTAAAATAGAAATACCCAAATAAAACAAAATGAGAAGAGAACATTTCAGTCCCTGAAGGGCCCTGCAGCCTCGTGGGGTTCAGTCCATCACCCGGTGCACTGCGGGGCCTCAGCGGTCACCTACGGCATATCCTCCGGAAATGAGGCAAACACCCAGGTAAATGGGTGGTGGGTACCCGGGGGAGCACACCGATGGGCTCACAGGAGGGGCTGTCACCAAGCAGCACGCGGCTAGGATATTCGGTGCTGGCCCATTGCGGGGTGGGGCAGCAGTCCGGACCAGGCTTCGCACAGGCCCCAGGAAGACCATTCAGGAAGGAAAGCCGTTTCCAGGTGCCTGCATGATAGGACACCCCTGTCCTATAACACGCCGTAGACGTGTGTGACTCAGCAGGACAGGCAGGGCGCTGGGTCACAGCCCTGTCTACTGCATGACCTTGGCAGCTTCACCTGCTCCCAGCCCTTGGCCTTCCAGCCCGGCAGTGAATGACAGGCTGTTCTGTGGCCCAGGCCACTGTTCTGTGACTTCTGGAAAACTTCCTAGATTCTTTTTTTTTTTTTTTTGGAGAGGTTTTCACTATAGGGCGTGTGCGCTCGCCAGACAGACAGAGAGAGACATAGAGACAGAAAGCGAGAAATCACCTCCCAGAGGGGATGGTCATGCCGCAATCCCTTCTCCTCCATTCTCCTCTCGGGATCTTGGGCACGCATGCATACACGCCCGGCGTGAGTTTTAAGCCACCGGGTCCGGGACGCGAACCGCGGTCGACTACGTGGGAGTCCAGCGACATAGCCATTACGCTAACAGCTGGTTCCCAACACTTCCTAACTTCTGTGGGCCTCAGTCTCCTCATCTGTCAATGGGAAATGGCGTCTCACAGGATTAAATGCTGATGAAACATGAAGGCTATCTCAACTGAGCCGTCACCACCACGTGAGATCTCTGTAAGACACAAAGCCCAGTTCGGTAGGTGGTGCCTGGGCACGTATCCGAAGACCCAGGGAAAGGAGTCTAGGAAACATGAGGCATACCCCAGGAGCACGGAGAGGTGAGCAGCTGGGAGGGGTGAGAGCCATCGTCACGAAGCGCGACTCACTGTTCCAGACGCCACTTACTTAATGCATTTAATCCACTCCTCCTTCTCCTCAGGCGTCGGGGCGGAGATCCGATAGACAGTGTGGTTCCCTTCCACCACGCGCCCGTCAGCCTCCGTCTTACAGGCCTTAATCACCTGGTCTTTACTGTCAGGGATGTAAAGCTCGAAGCAGTTCTGCCGGTTGAAAAGAGGGAGAGAGTGACGAAGCTGCTGACCAACAATGATGCCAATTTTCTTCCCCAGAAAACTACTTGGACTTTCATAAAATACAGGCACTATTGGGACCAGCAGATGGTCTAGCAGTTGCATTGCTGGACTTCATGTGGTCAACTGTGCTTTGACTCCTGGACCCAGTAGCTTGAAAGTCAAGCTGGGCACGGGTGTGTGCATGCCCAAGATCCTGAGAGGAGGATGGATGAGAAAGAACTGTGGTGTGGCCATCCCCCTGGGGTGGGGGCGTATCTCTCACAGTCTATCTCTCTGTCTCTCTGGTGAGCTCATGTGCACTTTAGCAAAAATTTCCAAGAAACGATAATAAAAAATTAAAAAATACAGGCAACATTTATTTTCATATGGAAAAGAGGGGCCTAGAAGTGGAATCTGGAGCCTGGCAGTGTATACAGACAGGCCTTCCTAGCAGGTCTCAGCAGCTGTGTGTCGGCTTGACTGCTAACGGAGTGTGGTGGCAGGCTCGTACCTGGGCTTTGAAGCCAATCCAGCAAAGCACAGGAAAGCACTTACGAAGTACCCAAGATCATCAGGTAAGTAGCCCTGTCAGGAGTGCCTCCTGTCGCCACTGGGAAGGTGCCCACTCCCAAACCTCAGTCACATTTGATAAGTGACACCAAGGCAGATGGACAGGATGAAACGAGGTCATTCCAAGTCTCACCTTTGGCTTAAACACTGAAGATCATTCTAAAAGCTAGGCTCAGTTAAAGGCATTAGGTTTTTTTGGGTTTGTTTGTTTAACTTTGATATTTTATACTTTTTCAAAGAATTGCCGCATCCACCCTTTCCTCTCCCCAAAATACCCGACCAAAAACACTCACTGGTTTTTTGGAGTCTTCCACCTCCCGGATACTCAGATTCTCTAGCGGGATGATCCCACGGGGCTCCTTATCCTACAGTGCAGTCGGAGAGAGGAAGGGTCAGCACCCAGTCCCAGGGCACAACCTCCACACACGACTCCCCCCTCCCCCGAGCTCCCTGCCTTCTCCCACGATACCATGTCGCGCAGCAGCTCCAGGCAAGAACGGGACCAAGAAGTCCCTGGACCCTGACCATGTAACACATGCGAGTCCCTGTAACCAACACCCCCTGCAAGCAGAAAGCCCTGGAGACTCAAATGATACCTTGCAAGTGGGGTGGCCTTCAAGTGGGGACATGCACACTGCATTCCCTTAGAAAGCCACTTCACTTCTTTGCCTAACTCAGTCCTGCTCACTTTGTTTTGTTTTCAAGAGATTTTTGCCACAGGGTATGTGCACTCACCAGAGAGACAGAGAGACAAAAAGTGAGAAATCATCCCCCAGGGAGATGGCCACGCCACAATCCCCTCTCCCCTCCACTCTCCTCTCAGGATCTTGGGCACACATGTACACACACCCAGCGTGAGTTTTAAACTACCGGGTCCGAGACTCCAATGTGGGAGAAGTCCAGCAAGGTAACCATTACACTGTCTACTGGCCCCTTCCCACTCACTTTCTAAGCCTTGGTCCTGGGGACGGCTGCCCCATCATATACCCATCACCTCCCGCCTGTCTCCCCACTGCCACGGTGCGAGTCTCAGAGACTCAGCCTTCCTGACAACTACACTGGATCGAAAGAGCTAAACTACACGCGTGGCCAGAACAGAGTGAGACCCTCCTGTCCCCACGGCCGGCTGGAGCCTCCAGTGTAACCCATCTCGCCAGCAAGACCACTGCTCCAACACATGTCCACCCACACCCGCCCCTAAGGCCCGGCCGGCCAGCAGCAAGTCCAACTTCTCCGGTTCTTACATTTAATCAATTACACACGCATTTTTTGTTTTTCTTTTAAGCAGTTCTACAAGTTTGGTGAAAGTAAAAAAGAAAAAAAAAAATCAGTCTTTCAGCCATGTTCCCACCCCCAGTGGTAACTATTTCCAACTTCTTTAAGCCAATTTGTTTGGAATTTACCTCTGTATCTCACACCATGTTTAAACAGTTTACTTTTGGGGTGTTTTACTATATTTTATTGTAAATTTTTCCAGAGGGTATGTGCACTCACGAGAGAGAAAGAGAGAGAGACAGACAGACAGACAGACAGAGTGAGAGAGAGGCAAAGACAAAGAAAGAAAAAAAGAAAAAGGAGAAAAGAATCTTTTATAAGGGAAGGTCATGCCACAATCCTTCTCCCCATTTCTCCTTCCAGGAGTTTAGCACATGCACACACGCACCCCGTGTGTCTTTTGAGTCTCTAGGTAAGAGACTTGAACCATGCAGTCGACCGTGTGGGATCCGGCCACCCTAACCACCATGCCACCAGCTGGTCCAATTTCATCTTATTGCTATTTTTAAAACTCTGCCAGAGGCTGTGTGCGCTTGCTGGAGAGACAGGGTTGGGAGAAGTGAGGCGTCCCCCATGGGGCATAGTCATGCTGCAATCCCTTCTTGACCTCGCCCTCATATCAGAATTTTGGGCACCCACACATGCCTCGCCCATTTTTCAAGCCACAGGGTCCAAGACTTGAATCGCACAGTCAGCCACATGGAATCCAGTGCCTCGACCATGATGTTATGGGGAGCATGGGTATAGTTACCTCAGTGCCCAGCATATTCACATTCATCCTCTCCTCGAAATAATGATCTGATCACATTGGCTATAGCCATATGTGCTGTTTCACCACCACTACCTCAGTCTTCTGACCCACGCCATCCGTACAGTAACCTTCTCAACTTCTTCTTTGGAAAGCTTCTTTCTCCCTGAACAAAACTGCCTTTTACTGAGACAGAAGGAAGAGGCTGTTTCTTTCATTTATTTTTTCTACAAACCTAACACTAAAATTGATTGCAAGTGTTTTCACTTAACAAAATCTCTTTTCTTTCACTAGTTCATATCAGATATCCCATTAATTTCCATTTCTTGAAGGAAGCTTTTCCTGGAGGCCCTGTAACCAGCTCTAATCTGGACCAGCTGCCTCTCTATACTCTATAAACTACTTGTCTTTAGCTTACCATCCTCCGTTTCAGAATGTTTTGCCCTTGTCTCCCACTCACCTCCTGCTTCCTGTAGTCTCAAGTTTCCTGATTTTACTTAGCACCCTCACTTTGCAGAGCACATTCTCCACTAGCATCCTGGTAAAGGTGTGTGGGTGGTCACAGTTTTGAGGTATTGCTGGTTTAAAAATGCTTTATTCAACCCTCACATTTGACTGATAGTTTAGCTAGGTATAACAGTCTAGATTGGCAATAACTCTCCTCCTGGATTTCGAAGCATGGTATCCCTGCCTTTAGCTTTCCATATTTTTCTGTACAAAGTTAGCGTGACTGCTTTTCGCTGCATCCTCAGTGTTCTGGGACTCTAAGGATGCCAACTTAGTGAGGACCCTTGTTGCAGCCATTATGTGGGTTGCTCGGTTGCCTTTTAACATGGAAACATATATCCTTCATGTGGGAGGGTGTTTTGAAAAACTATTTTGTCAAAAATTACCTTCTCTTCATTTTCTCAGTCCTCTCTGGAATATGTTGGACTTCCTGGACTGTTTTCATTATTTTCCATCTCTTTGGTATTTGCTTGTTTGGTTTGCTTTGGTTTTTGGTTTTGGTTTTTGTTTTTGAGAGGTTTTTGCTATAGGGTGCATGCGCTTGCCAGAAAGACAGAGAGAGACAGAGAGGCAGAGAGCAAGAAATCACCCCCTGGTGGAATGGCCACGCCGCAATCCCTTCTCCTCCATTCTCTTCTCGGGATCTTGGGCACGCACGCACACGCACCTGGCTTAAGTTTAAGCAACTGGGTCCAGGACTCAAACCGCAGTCGACTCCATGGAAGTCTAGCAACATAGCCATTACAACAACTGCTGGTCCCTGGTTTTTTTTTTTTTTTTTTTTTAACTCTATCAGGGAGCTTTTCTTGATGTTTTCTTCCCATCCTTCTAGTGAGCTGTTACTTCTACTACCCTTCTCATCTCTGAGAGTGTGTCTTGATGGCTTCTGTTCTGTGGGTTACTACAGGACTCTGTGCTTGTCGCACAGCTGTGGCAGCTCAGCTCCCCAAGATGAAGCTTCTCTCCAATTGGTACTAAAGCTTTCCTCTCCAGGCAGGGCCCTACTCTCCTCCAAGCTGCCCTTCTGTGCGGCTGCTCTGGTTCCTGCCATTCCTCAGGGATCCGGGCCTCTCAGATGTCTGCCTGCCGCAACAGGAGCTGAGCTGTGTGGACAACAAGCTCTCCACAGGGCTCCTCTCACTGGGTTGTCTCTGCTCCAATGGTTCCTCCTCATGGCTTGGAATCTGGTCCAAGATCTGGTATACCTCTCTTCATGGTCTGCCAGTCACGGGCCTGGCTGCCAGTGTTCTGAGAGCTGAGGGGAAATAACGGGTGTGGAGGGGGGTCGGCATTCTGGATGCCTGAGTGTACCTAATACTCCTGTTTGGGTACAGTGCCCCACCCTCAACTGTGCCCAGGTTCCTCAATCTAGAGATACTGGGATAATATCTCTTGAAAATGAGCCCTCAGACTTCTACATGGGTGGCGGAGGCAGGTACTCAGGGGCATGAAGTGAGGGAGACAGCTGGTGTTTCCTGAACAGCTTTCCAACACTTTCCCTGATTCTAGTGCTTACCCTCTTCGTACTCATTTCTAGGGTTATCTGAACTTCCTGAGGATTCTGCTAGGTTGAATCATCACCAGGGGAGGACATGGGTGGGCTGACAGTTACCACATATGGACCTCGTGAGGGGACGACTGCATTTATCCTCTCAGCCAGAAGGGCCGAAGCACGTGGGTCACACCTGTACGACATGCACTGCCAGCTAAGGTGATCTGAAGCCACACACCTGTGGTCTTCGGTCTCGGAGCAGGGACCAGATTCTACGTTCTTTCCCAGCCCCTGCCTCACCCATGCGAGCACCTCAGTTCACAAGGTGGTCCTCCCTGCTCTCCCCTCACACTCACCTGCCTGCCGAGAACGGACTAAAGACTGGCATCACTCCCGGGAGCACACGCTCTCCTGAGTGCCAGAAAATCACCGACACACACTCTGCCTGCTGGACACGACGTAAGGTACCAAATATTAAAAGGGCCCCTGTCTAGGGTCCTTACCTTGGAACTTCGAGGGGACTGCCAAGCCTAAGAACAGAGACAGTGCAACTCACTGAGGACTCATTCAGGCCCAGTACATCCGTTTCCTCCATGAGGGTGGAATTCGCCAATTTTAATGTCTGTGGCTTATTTGATTTTTCTTTAAAAACCATTACCATTCCTTTTGTAAAAACAGTATTTGTTATAAGGAACTTAAAATGTTGCAGGAGAGGACAAAATTTAAAGGTTTAAAAACACTCCAAGGGACCAGCAGACGGAGTGATAGCTATGTTGCTGGACTCCCATGTGGTCAACCACAGTTGGAGTCCTGGATCCAGTGGTTTAAACTCATGCCAGGCGCGTGTGCATGTGTGCCCAAGATCCCGAGAGGATAATGGAGAAGAAGGGGTTGTGGCGTGGCCATCCCCCTGGGGGGGTGATTTCTTGCTTTCTGACTGTCTCTCTCTGTACACACACCCTATAGCACAAACATCTCAAAAAAAAAAACAACAAAAAACAAAAGAACAACAAAAAACCCCCTCCAAATAGGGACTGGCAGGTGGCATGGTAGTTAAGGGCACTGGACTCCCACATGGCTGACTGGTTTAAGTCCCGGACCTGGCAACCTGCTTTCTTACTTTCTCTTTCTCTCCCCCACTCCTGTCAATTAAAATAAATAAATAAATAAATATATAACATAATTCTCTTAAAAAAAACAAAAAAAGCTCCAGATTCAATCACTCCTAAACTGTCATTGCTGCTATTAGGTAAAGGTGTGTGTACTGGGGAAGGGAGGGAGATCGATTTTATGAAAATGACATATTTCAGGTGGCATCATTTTCAGAAAAGATGTTCTATTTA